CAAGTCTAAAATAGAAGTCATTGTTTGTATACTCCCAAAATATTATTTTACCCATGCTGACTTTAGTCTTTACCACCAGCAAAGTGGTATTGTCTGTATCTGCATGTGTGTGTGTAGTTGTGGATTTGGTTTGTGTTCTTATTTTGCATATTCTCTGATAGACCATAATCTACTTTAAAATTTTAATTTTTCTCTTTTGTAGTTAGATTTCTTTAAACCACCTTCATATATTTGAACAAAAGTTAGTTTATTGAAAGAATGAGAACTTGAATGATGTAACTTATGTAATTTTAAGTCCTGATGTATAGTGTGACTGAAAATTCACGGCTGAATGTTATCTACGTCATGTCTGCATTTCCCAGAAGCTTTGTTTTCTTTTTAATCTATTCTTTCTGCTGCCTCAGTATTGGGCTCAGCTCTTTGGAACTTGGTCAGATTCTATTTGTATTATCACCCTTATCATCCTGTCTCTCCCTTTGGCATCCCAAAGCCAGACCCCATTGTTCAATAATTTACCAAAAGTTTTTCTCTATTTGGAATGTTCACTGTAAATTAAATTACAGTTTTGCACGCTGCAGTGAAAAAGGGCAGTTGAAGGATAAAAAAATGAAAGTAAATTCCAGTGAAAAGGCAGAACTAAAGGAAAAAAAAAGCCTAGTAAATGTTTAACTTTAAAGAGGCATAACATAGCTTGCGACCTTGTGTTCCTTAGTTCAAAGGAAGAATGGAGGCTAAAATAACCACTGCAAACAGCAGTGCAGATTCACTTGGTTATCCTTTTTTCTGGGAAGTACTATCATTTTGATCTGTCTCCATAGTTTCACTTTGATAGACAACTAAAGGAAAGACCTGCTCGACTGGAAATATCCAGATAAAATGATTGTTTCCTTTATCTAAGCTATATAGTTCTTAACCTTTGAGAGAGTACTAAAGTTAGATGCTTTATACTTCCTTTCACTAATTTACCATGCATGCATGCATGTCTTTTATGTGAAGATTTTAAAATGTGTACAAATAAAACTTTACTCCAAGATCTAACAATCTGGTAGAGGAGACAGATGTTGTATATAAAGTGTATGAAACTGATATGGAAAAATACAAGCACGGGACACAATTCAGAGGAGGGGAGACCTTACTTCTAGCTTAGGAATGAAGGAAGGCAGTTTAACTGAGTGTTGGACTCAGGGAGGTAGGGACAGGACATTCCAGGCATGGAGAATAGGAGCAAGGTCATGATTCAAAAAGTGCAGTATGGACTGAAGAGAGCAGTAAATGGTCCAGTCTGCTTAGAGCATAAGGAAATGCATTAGAGACAGAGGGAAGGGCAAAAGAAAGAAATCTGGAGAAGTAAGTTGGGTCAGATGTTGGAGGGCCTTGATTGCTTGGCTAAGAAATTTGAACTGTCTCTTGAAGGTTTGGGATAATAGGTTGATGTAGCATTATCAGAGCTGTGCTTTTATAAGATTTATTAAGCATCATTATGTAGAAAGGAGTAGAATTTGAGAAGACGGTAGAAACAGTGAACAATGCAATGAGTTCACATACTTTTGTTATGAGGGTCAAAAGAGTAATGTAAAGAGCTTAGAACCAGACCTGACACACAGCACTAAATTAGTGTTAGCTATTATTATGATAATTATCTTTTTTATTAACGTGGAGATGATGAGGGGCTGAACAAAATTAAGGGCAGTATGAAGAAAGGTCAGGAGATGGACACTATTATTGCAGAATTTAGCAGTTGATTAGAATTGAAGAACAGAGTCCAGGATGACTCAGATTTCAAGCCTAGGTGACTGAGGATAGAAACAGAAAAGTTAGAAGGTGCAGGTTTGGAGAAGGAGAACGATAGATGTATTTTAGGACACATGGAGTTTGAGTTCTGGATGGCTTTCCACTTGGGGATGTTCAGCATGCAAGACTGGAGAAATATCAACATTGGTAATATATATTTGGAATTTAAGTGCATAGAGATTATAGCTGAACCTGGAGAATCAAGGGAGAGAATGTACAGAAGGACCAGAAGAATAAAGCTTCATATCAAAGATGGAAATACAAAAAAATGTCGGACCCTCAAGTTGAGACACCTAGAAGCAAGCATGGTAGAGTCCTCTCGGTCAGTGTTCTCTAAGCTTTTTAAATTGCACACCCTGTTATCTGAGCATGCAGCTTACATGTATAAATTAGTATTCTTTATTCTAAAAAGTCACTTGGTCATTTTTCGAATGTTAGTTTACTTAAAAACAGAGAATATCTATAACTTCCCTTATCCAGGCATACATAACAAAGTACAGGTGCCACTGTTAAGTTAAGCCCACTTTTTCCTCAGAATACTTAGAGCTCCATGCATGGTGTACGATTTTGGGACAAGTTAAACTGAGTGAGGGCATCAGTATTAGCCCATAGGTTAAATATTCAGAAAGCTAATATTAGCATTTTCTGTGTGTCTTGATATGTAAAAGATTAGAAATACTGCCCTAGAATCTGGTGGCTTTCACTTGTCCTGAAAATGTACAATAGTCTTTTAAAATATCCAGTAGTCCTTTGAGATTAGTTATGTATATGTATATGTGTGTGTATGTATAAGCTTAAGTTTTCTTGATTAAGTTTTAAGTGTGCACGCGTGCACGCGCGCGTGTGCACACACACACACATAGTCATCCAATGCACAGACTGGAGTTTTTTTTTCTGAGTTGCATTAGTCTTAATCATACTGGTGTTAGCTTTGTGAAGTCTCAAATGACAGTATTCTGCAGGAAGCCAACCATAAATGCACATGTAGGAATTTGGCAACATTTGCTTAGCAAGTAATTTATAGCCACATGATCATAACAGTGATGAGAAGCATACACAATAAATTACCAGGAATAAGATAGCCACATCTGTACGGTCTAGCAGAATTTAATATAAGGCACCTACATTTAGTTTCCAGGCTAGGTATGTTGTAATTATCTTCAATCTAAAATAAAGGCAATAAGAAGCTTTTCACTGGAGAAATAGGGATCAATTTACAGCCATCTTACCCGGTTATTTATATCCTGAACTCCATGATTATTTCTCTTCTGGTAATTAAGTGGCCAAATGCCCATGAAGCTACCCTTGAAGGTAGTTAAGCATTGTAATAGTATGTAATGTTTATATGAAACAATACTTTACAGTTAATGGAGTGATTTCATATTTATTCCCTTGGTATTTACCTAAGATAGTTAGGGCAGAGGATTACTACCCCATTTTGTGGGCGAGGAAACAAGAGGCAGAGCCTAGTGACATAAGCCCTGTCCTCTTTGCAGTTGCACTTCGTTACTGTACATGAAACACAAGGTGTAGCTGTGTTCATCTTATGGGACTAATTCCTCCTCCCACTTCCCCTTTTCCTGTGTTTACTCTTCCCCCAAAAGGCACAATTTCCATTTAAAAAAATGGAAAATTTCCTGGAGTTCTCACATAATTTTAACATTATATGACTAAACAAGTGGAACTTAAAAGGATCAAATATATAGTCAAATTGAATTATTTTTAAAGTTTTTGTCAAACAAGATAGGTGAACTCAGCCACCTTTCTTTTCAGAACAAAGCATAGTGTGTTGGGAAAATGTCTTTTGTCGATTCTAAGTTCACTAAGGTTTGATAAGTAGTTGACTTTTTCCAGGTAGATAGGAGGTTAGCATTGTATTAGGTGTTCTGTGTTGTTCCTTAGCTGTGTAGATACACAGTTTGTGGTATGTATTGGGCATCTCTTAGATTTGGGTTCTCACTTTGAACCACAGAGACTGGTATTTTTAGATGAGTCATTGTGTTCTTAAATAACCAGTTGCTTTTTAGTTCTTAGCTGTGATTTATACACCTTGCTTTACCCTTAGGGAGGGAGGTAGAACAAAGGAATTCTGATTTCTTGGAGTGATGGCCGCAAAATAACATTGTCACCATATTCACAATAATAACAATAGCTGTAATTTTGAAGAACTGCATAAATTTAACCAGATGATTCCTCATAAAAGTGTGCAGCTATGGAAACATCTCTAATATGGGGCCAGGCTAACGCTATTTCTGTGAATGATAGTGAAAAGATAGCGTGACTGACTTCCATCACCGGAGAGAGTGAACTTTGAGCTTGATCCACCAGACCTTTTCATCTCCACTCTTGGTTGGTGACCACATATCCCCAAGTCCCAGTCCTTGTGGGCAACTGCAACTTTAACAAGCATGAAAAACCTTAAGCTTTCCACTTTGAAACGTGTAAGAATCTGGCATCTTGGCATGTTGGAGTACTTTTCCCAGGAGAGTGATCAGGAAAACTAAAGGTAAAGGCTTGGTAGATTTATGTTCCAGACTGAGAAGACCCACAGGTTCTTAAGTTTTTGGTCCTCTACTGAGTTATCAATTCTAAAAAGGGAGGAGGACATGTGAAAGGGCACAGAGCTGAGAATCAGGGCATGGATTTTAAGTTCAACTCCGGCATGTACTTGCCCTGTGACATATGGCAAGTCCCTCAGTCTATCTGGATGAAGTATTTTTATCTGTCAGATGGGAATATCAGTACCTGTGTTGTGTTTGTCGTGAAAAACCAATGAGATAATGTAAAGAAAGCTACTTTACAAAGTGTAAAGCAGGTACAGATGTGAGAGATTAGTATAACCGTCTTAGTTGCTTTGCACTCTTTGGAGTGGTTTTCACATTCTCAACTCCTGACAGCTGTATACTTGGAGGTAGGAGATTTGTTTCTTCTCAAGCTGCAGCCTGCCTGCCCTCCCCCTCCTCTTTTTTTTTTTTTCTTTCTTTCAACATTTAAATTAGTGGTAAAAGACACTAAGCAGAGAGCAGAATTCAGTGTATCTGTGAGTCAGCAGAATCCATACAGCTAAGTCAATACAGCCAAGCTCGTCTTGACATTCTTTTAATACCCTCCAGGTTTTTAATTGAGAATTTCCTGAGCAGTGATGATGATATGCTGTCTGGTAATTTTCGAGGCCTTCTAACATGTATTTTCCCATTTGTGTGCTGCAGCTGCTCTGTGAGGTTCTGCTGTAGGTGAGCAGAGGCTCCAAGAAGTGATTTGCCCAAGATCATAAACGTATAGCAGGTTAGTAGCCAGAGAACAAGAACCTCCAGGTCCAGTACGTTTTTTCTTCATGTTTTTACCCTGTGCTTTACTGCCCCCAACTGTTCATAGCTGATTATTCATAGGTGCTACTGACTGACCTAGAGACATGCAAAGAAGGACAAAATAGAAGAGTGACAGAGCATGGAAAGAGAGACAATAGAGAAGAAAGATGCTTATATGATAGGAGACAGCAATGCCCTTCACATCTCTTCTTTGATTGCCACAGAGATGAGATGTTGGGAGTGGGGAGCAGCAAGTGGATAAAAATGATTTTGGGGGGTTCAGGATTTAAGTTAGTGGTCAAAGCTGAGACTACTCATCTTTCTGAACAGTTTGAATAGACACCTTAAAACAATGTATACAAAAAGTGAGAATAAACAGCTATACGAAATCAAGAACACAGTTTTAGAACTTATGCATTTCTGACACCACCTTTTACTGTATTGTAACCTTGAGCAAGTAACTTAAGATACCCAGTCCTCAGCTTTCTTATCTGTAAAATTGGAAGAATATTGAAATCTTTATTACTGAGCTGAGTGAAGATCAATTGAGGGTAATGTATGTTAGTAGTTTATAAATGCTGAAGCTCTTAAGTTGGCATCTTTGAAACATTCTTTAAAATCACACTTCTCACCTCTCCTGAGAGTACACAAACACAGGATCCTGTCAGAAGCTGGACAGGAGAAGGTTCTCAGGGTTTTTGAATCTCAGAAGGGATCCAGTAAGCAGAATGGCTCTTTGTTTTAGGGTATAAGTTGACTTCAGGCTACAGGCATTATTTCTGTATCCAGCCCATGTCAGAATTCTCTTTCAGGCTCAGGGCCTGAAAAACCAGTTAGTCATCATTCTTTCTGTAAGGATTTATTTACTCCTGTTAGGTTGGAGGGTCAAGGAGATTAACAAATACTTCTGTGGGGCAGAGGGGCTAGCCCAGTTCACTCCTAGTGGAGGCTGAACAGGTGAGGGAGCCATATAACAGCTATGTGATTTCCAGCAAGCTTCTCAGCCTCTGGTACTCAGTTTCTCCATCAGTAAATGAAGGATAACACTACCTTTGTTGGGAAAGGATTCAGTGAAATGAAACACTTAACATGCTTTAGAACTGGGTTCTAAATATTATCTGACCCTTTTTTTTAAAGGGCCAGATAATAGTTTTGGCTTCCAGGTCATTCGGTTTCTGTTGTAACACTTCAGCTCAATTGTTGTAGCGTGAAAGCAGACATAGACAATATAAATGAATGAGAGTTGCAGTCTTCAGTAAAACTTAATTTACAAAAAGAGGATGCGGGACATATTGGGCCTGTGGGCTATTGTATGTGGACCTTTGCTTTAGAATATTTTATTAAAATATTTGGTCTCTTTTTTCTACCATACAAAATACTGATAGTGTTTCATATATGCAGGGAAGGTTTAAGTTGAGCATTAGGGAAGGAATGAGGAAGAAAGTGTATGAAGTTAAAATGTTTACATACCATTTCTATTCCACAGAAACATTTTAAATGTTTTGTTTATGCCTTCCTGTCAGTTTCTTTCTATGCCTTCATTTTTTTCCAGTTATAACTATACTATGATCTAGCCCCTATTTAAAAGATTGTTATAGTAGATAGAAAACAGAAACAAGTTTTTGTTTTTGAAGGAAAAGTATCAATACTGCCAACTTGAAAATGTGAGCAGATCTTTAGGGAGAGCCAGTACCAACCTTTAGTCTTTTGGGAAGCATGGTTTTTCCAGTAGGCAGTTTGAAAAACAGCTTCATACTTAGCCTCTTGGAGCTGGAGACAGACACACCCTCAAACACTGAACTTAGAATTAAGCAACAAAGGGGTCTCCAGTAAGGCTACATTATTCCTTCTTAGAGTAGTGGATGCCATCAGGTATTTAGTTATGTCAGGTTTTAGAACTTTAGTAAGATTTCTGAGACTAAGCTTAGTGTTCTTTGCTTAAGTAGAAACCTTAAAAGAGCTTAAAGACTATTGAACCTTCTTTTCTCTCTAGTCACCCTGCCTTCCCTTGTGTTCATTTATTTATTATATCCTCAAGTAGTGAAGTGTAGCCCTTTCATAATAGACCACCTCTTGGCATATGTGTTCAATATACTTTGTTCCTGGAGTGGCTTAGGGGAGTGACTGGCCCAAGGCCACCAGCTAGCAGGCAGCAGGCCAGTTCACAAACACAGGATTTTAATTTTCCAGAGCAGTGTTATTTTTCTTATTCTGAAATTGTCAATTTGAGGTTGGTTTTACTGTGGAGAGCATATGCTTCCTTAAGGCTTGAAATCCTTTTTAGCCATCGTGATTGTTAATGGCATATGTCCTTAGATCCATCTGTACAAATATGAGAACCAAATTGTCTGTCAGTAGAATTGTTTTGTTTTGAAAATCTCAGTCCTCAAATTTAGGTGGTTTTTTTTTGCTTGTTTGTTTGTTTGTTTTTGGTCCTTTGGAAGAATATCTGAAATAGTAAGCACAAGTTAGCTTAAATGCTACCCCTTTTCTTATCTATTTACTCATATTGATATTTTTTCTTTTTATCTCTCATTCACCATTTGAAGTATAACATCTGAACAGCTTTAGCTGGAACTAACTTCAATAAATACCTGAAGCAGTACTGGAACATAAAATACATGTGATAGTGATGCTGATTAGATTTTAAAATAAAATTGTCATTTAATGACAGGAAAACATCAAAAAGTGAGAAAGGGAGTGAAGAAGATACGTGCTTTGAACATAGAGAGATACTTGCTGATGTATGTTAAGTTGGAGACAGGAATGATTAGGGTCACTCACAGCAGCCTAAAGGCTTCAGGTTGGATTGGTGGACATTTAGGGGAAAGATGGTATCATTGTTTAGATTTGTTTTTCATTCATAATTGGACTAAGAGATATTCGATTGTATTTGACAATGAGAGCATTATTTTTAGGTAAAACTTGACTGCCTGGGATGGATCAGCTCTAGTACTTTAATAGAGGCAGCATTGATGAGAGGTTGGGCTCCATTTTAGGGGAGCTTCCTATGATCTTTTTTTTCTTGAATAGTTGTTGTGATGTTATGGTTTTAAGGTATTCACTCCCCAAAACATCTATTTGATTTTAGTTAGTTCAAAGAGCTGTATTGTGCATAAATGACTTTCATAGAAAGAATGAAGTATATGCCAAGAAATAGCTAAAATCTAAAGGTACATAGTTTTAGAAATTAAGGATTATTATAACAAAACCTTATATTTCTTTGTGTTTTATGAGGTTATTTTGATACATCCTGTTCCATGTCTAGGCATATCACTAAGGGAGAATTTGGCAAGCATGGTACCTGGTCAAAAGGAAGAGCTTGAAAAATTTCCAACAGAATGTCAAAAGAGGAACACTCTGCTTTTGGGACGTTTTGAAAACTGCTTAGGTCTCTTTTTCTTTCTTCAAGTATGGTAAAGAGTAACTGGATATTAGAGTGACAGCTAGATTGGCCACCCTTGAATGATCCAATTGAATCATCTCATTTTCTCCATGATTTTCTCCTTATCTTCTTGCTAATGAATGGCCAAACCAGAGGTATTTGCCCTCCTTCTCTTCCTACTTACCTATTGTCATTAATTTTTCAAACTTTGCTAATCTGTCCTGGTCTCCTTTCTGAGAAGCTTCTGACTTTGAAAAGATTTACACTTGGTACGCACCCAGGTTTCCAGCCTTCCAGACTGCCTTGCAACTTTCAGGACACTGTGTGCATGCGTGCGCACCTATCCTTCCTATCATGCTTTTTTATCCTTAGTTCATTTCAGTAAGTCAGGGTGATTTCCGATTGTAGTCTTTCTTACTTTAAAGGCTCAGAGAGAATCTTGCTTATTTTGACCTTCCCAGAATAGTTTGTATAACCAGTTTCTTTGGTTGTTCAGGCAATCTTGGTAAGTCTGTTTCAGGGCCAAGCTTTCCAAGAGGCCTCTTTCTCTCAAAAAGGCCATACTCACCAACTTTCTTGCCCTTTCATTCAGGAATAGTTATCAGACTGCGTGCTAGATGCTGCAGGGGATCCAGAGATGAATCATACTTGGGTCCTAGTTATAAGGAGTTTATAAACCAGAGGGGAAATATGAAAAGGCATACACATAAGTAATGGTCATATGAGGTAATGTGGTGAGAGCAGGAAGAGGTACAGATGAAGGGCTCTAAAGGTTCACAGGAAGGAGTGACTATTTCCAGATGAGGATGTTTAGAGAAGATTTGTGGAAAGTTTATTGGGGTAACATTGGTTAATACAATTATATAATTTTCAGGTGTAAATTATAATTTGACAACTGTATATTCTATTGTGTGTTTACCACCCAAAGTCCAGTTTCCTTCAGCTACCATGTATTTGATCCCCTTTACCCACTTCACCCTCCCCCTACCCCCCTAAATTTGACCCCCTTTACCCCATCTACCTCGCCGCTCCTCTCCTACCCCCTACCCTTTGGTAACCACTAGTCTATAGTTCATGTCCATGAATCTCTGCTTGTTTGTCCTGTTCATTTGTTGCTTTTAGGTTTATATCCCACACATAAGTGATATCATGTGATTTTCAACTTTTTCTGTCTGGAAAAGCAAACTTTTTAAAATAAATTAGTAGATATCGGGAGTTGAGATTGCTTCTAAGAACAACCATTCAATACTTCATCTGATCCTTAAGTCTTTATTAATCAGGCAGTCTTATTCAAGTATTTATAAAGTAATTAATGAACGTGAATTATAAATCTAATAATAATGAATTAAGTCTGGAGAATTCTATACTGTATTTTTCATAGTGATCTAAGTGGCTTGGTCTTAAGGCAGTTTTGTCCTTGTCAACTTTATATATAAATAGCTTTATTCTTTGATAGAGATAGCAATTTAATGTGAAATAAAAAGGGCTCTAAAATATAAATCTCTTTTTTTCTTTTAAATACCTTCTCTCATCATTCTAGAAGATGAACCTAGCATATTTTCCATGAGTTGTAGATGTTATAAACAGGTTACTTCTGTAGCAAAATTAATTTAGTTGCAATTTATGTATTAATTATTAAAATAAGTGATAAGATTAACTAGGGTTGCTTTATATTTTTTAATTTGTTGAGGTGTTTGGTGAGCAAAATTTGTTTGTGATTATGATTAGGTTTTTCTTTCTTTCTTTTTTTTTTTTTTTAATGTTAAGTTGTGCCTTAGAAAATATTGAGCACACCAATTTGTTTTTGTAAAATCTCTTGCTTGAGATTTGGTCTGATTTTTAAAGCCCCGTGTAAAGACGATTGACTTTAAGGAAAGCCTTTTGAATCAAAGTACTCACTTTTTCTAGGACTTTACAGTAACAATTCTTCCAAGAAGTATTAAAGGAATAGCTACTAATAATTCTGTGCAAAGATGCTAGACAACATGCTCCAAATCTTTTTCTCTTTTCTTCCTGAGAGGATGGTCTGTCCCTGGTTAGGAGAGTATCTTTGTTTTTTTGGTCAGGAATTTAGAAAAAGAGGTTTCTGGATGGAAAAATTATAAAAGCTATTAACTCTAAATCCAAAGCTCACACAGAACTTTGTAAATTCAACTTAATGTAAAGAACAGTCAGAGCTGTCCAAAGATGGAAAAGAATGCCTTACCAGTAAGCCAGTTTCCCAGAACTGGAGAGGAAGGAGCTCATATTTAAGCTAAATGACCACTTAGGGTGGGATTAAGGAGGCTGGGCAGAGGTTGAAGTAGAGCTGTGAGTATCTTTTAGAGGGAGTGGGCTTGGTTGGCTCTTAATGTCTATTTTTCAGCTCTAAATTTCTGTGATGCAATAAAATATAAAGGACATTATTGATGTATTTTTTGCCATTATCCATTTGTGATTATCTAATTCAGATGGGCCTCTCAAGTTAAAAACTTAGCTTTTAGTTCATTTTCAAGTTCCAGAAATATTTGTTAACTTCTGTTTTGCACCCAACCCCTACTCCAACAGTGTGTGGCTCTGAGCCACCCAAAGATGCATTCATGATCTATTGACTGCACGCACGTTTGGGAACTGATTGTGCCAACACATCCTTAGTTGGGACAGTGCAAAATTTAAAAGCAGACTGTGCACAGACAGTGTAGAAAGTGCTTCTTGAATTGTTTGCCTTTGTAATGTTTGTGGGAAGAGATCAGAGGACAATCAAAAATTGTTACCAACTTTCTAAATCTCACAGACCTTTACACCCAAACTACACCTACTCATCAGTAGCAAGTAGCAAGTATACAAAGATACCACGTTGGCAATTGTGCATCTTCCTCCTTTGACTGTAGCAGTTCGCAGGGCAGATTTTGCTAAGATGAGTCCTGTCAGTGAATCCATATAATAAAAGGTTAGATTCTTATTTTAATTTGTTTTGATAATTATTTTAATTTCTAGAAAGATATTTTTATTTGCCCCATTTTAAAAGGTTAAAGCCGCACCTTCATTGTCATAGGTAACTCATAAGAATCTATTAATAAAAATAAACGTCTCTAGATTACCTTGATTTCTTTATTCTCAATACATCTAAAAGAATAGTGTATAGGCCATGCACATATGGGTAATAAGTAAAAATGTAATAGGAGCTGAGTTGAGGACCATTCTTAGTTATTTAGGACTCAGGATTTTATCTAGTCATTTCCAACTCTGATTCAACACTCTTCACTTTAATTACCTCCAGAAACGCCAAGATCATATTGCTTCCTAGTACTTAGAGTTCCTGTTGATGTATAGAGCTTCTTGTAGGCCTCCAGCACCAGAAATTGGCTCCAAACCTTTTCCCATTACATCATCACCCACTAATGTCATTACACCAGAGTGAAATTTGCTTTGAAGATTGTACTCTTGTTTTCTTCCCATTTCTTTCCTTTCATCATTTCCTTTAGAAGGAAACAGGAAAAAAAAAAAAATATTGGAGACTCTAGGACAATCCCAGGCAGACATTTGAGTGAATCAAACATCCTCACAGTCTACACCTAGATTTATCAGCCTTCATTCCACTCTGCTGATGGAGAGTGATCAGCCCAGCATGTATCCACATGGAGCCTGGGAAGTAACGCATTTGGTCATGTGACACCTGGCTTTGGTGCTTTTGTTTCAGCCCTTCAGAAATAGTTCTTAATGACTTACATAGCTCCTGCCAGCGTCCTGTCACTGGCATGTTAAACCTTTTCAAATAATTTCCCAGAATGGAAATTCTTAGGATATCACTAAGTTTCTAATTTTTTGTGTGTGTTTAATTAAACTGTTTCTTGCAATTAAGTATTTGCCAGATAAGCATTTAAGCCATCTGGAGATTTTTACTTTCCTCCCTGTAAATCTTTTAAGACATTACGATATTTACAGTTATAGCTGATGTGGAGGTTCTCACTTATCTTCCCTCCCACATCACAAAGTAGTTGACCAAATGCAAGTTCTGACCCTCTCCTCTCTATCCTAAATTTAATTCCCCATTGTTTTTCAACTATCTTTAGAGCTTCCGGTTGATGGTGTGCTTTGTCCGGCTATGCACTGACAATAAGGTTTAGGTAAGGAACAAACTTGGTGGTCGGTTCAGTTCAGAAACTTTGTGCCACCCCCTCAATTACTGGCCTAGGCTTTAGTGCTTTTGTTTCCTTTGAGGCAGATTATCTTGAGATTAGAAGGAATAATCATCAGTAGTCCCAAAGAAATGGGGCCACAGTATCTAGAACAAAGGAACAAACTTGATTCATTTTATGACTTTGGGTTTACATTTCTGCAAAGTTTTAATCACTGGGGACCCTTACTATATCTGTTGCAGCCTATGGCATGGAGTGTGAGAAGCCACATAGAACTTGAAAAAAATATTGGAGGAATGATAGTGAAAATTTATGAACTGGGTTAGGGCAACCAAGTGCCTTCACCCCCAAGATGAGACATTAAAAGCCCTTGATTTACATTAGGATTTCAGATTGGATTTCTAGCAATTTTAGATTTTCTAGTTGGAGCTCCTTGATATTCTCTGAGGTATAAACTGAATAGAAGCAAAAACTTTCCCCTATACTTTTTTGCTAAGATTTAAGTCTGCATTAAAAACCTCTTTAGCATAATTATATACCTTCTCAGACTGAAAAGTTGATGAATTAGTGAAAATATCCACAAGGAAAGATATAAATAACCTGGACAGAAAGTCTGACTTTATTATTATTTTTATGTGTCTCATGTACGTGTTTGTTTTCAGTTGTCAAAATGTCCACAGAAGGAGGATTTGGTGGTACTAGCAGCAGTGATGCTCAGCAAAGCCTACAGTCCTTCTGGCCTCGTGTCATGGAAGAAATCCGGAATTTAACAGTGGTAAGAAAGAATGAGAAGTTTTTAACCAATATAAAAAGCCATGAGATGAATAACCAGAAGACTAAAACATGTTTAATCTCAAGCACATTTACAAAGGCTTAATCCATTCCTGACCTTGGGATGAGGAAATGAAAATATAATTTACCTTAGGTGAGGTAACTATAAGGATCTTTTTTCATATTTTAGTAACTTTTCCTTAGGCATATGAGTGTGTAGTGGATATTTTGACTTGAAGTTAGTTTAATGTGAAGCATATCTTTAGAGAATGCAGAAGAGCAGAGCTCTCACTTTTCTTCAGTAGCTTGAGCTCATTTCTTAGGCCTGATTTAGTGGCCCTGCCAAATTTCTAGAACCCGGAGAAAACTACTGAGCAATTTATTCAAAAACAAATCTATTA